ACATGATATTTTAGCATTTTGTTAGTTTGTTTGATTGTGTAGAGATTAAATGTAACCCTGTGTGTTGTCAGTAAAGTGTCTTGTTGGTAAAGTGGGTGTCAGTAAAGTATCCCAGACCCCAAAAAGCTAACTTGAAATTCAGCCATAAACATAAAATAATCAATTGTATTATTTACAAGCAAAATTTATATTTTCATCCAGGACAGGACAGTCTGTGCCTGTGTCTGCATCCACCAACAACATTGGTTTCAATGTCTGTTTGATTAAAAAAAATCTTTAGACTCACTATATTAATACACTATGATATCTCTTTAAACCTTTTTCTTTGATTGAGATGTAGCTAGTCTCAACAATTCGATTTAAAATATTTATTATGTCATTGTCCAACACTGATTTGTTTCCATGTCACTGCACATGTCAGGTTTTGCTATAATTTACTGTTGCTGTAAACATACATATAAGAGAGACAGACAACTAGCTCAATGCACATTTTCTCAAAAATGTTAGTAATAAATTTATTAGGGTTTTAATATGCAGAATCTTTTGTTTGATTGACTTCAAAGATTCTTAAATGCAAAAGGATAAATATTTTTGATAAATAAAATGTAGAATTCAAACCTGTCACCCGTTGTTACATTTGGCTTTCCTTCATTTATGATCTGAATTATTTTCAATGTTCCATAATTTCATCAAAATGAATAATATGTAATAAATCCATCTCAAGTTAAGATTATTTATATTCATATAAATTTTAGATCCAGGAACATTTTTAGATTTGTTTGTTTCAGTAATAAAGATTAATGGTTGACCATGGATTTTTTTCATTTCTTGTGCAATAGAATACATAATGTTTCAGTAAAGTGTTAATAACACTTAATTCTTAACTGAAAATGGTTCCATGTTACTTGTAAGTGTAATAGAATAAAGAAGGATGTGGTTTTTAGATTATTTGTCATCTCAAGGTTAAATGTTTATTTGGCTAAAGCTCTTGACTATACAAAATAATTATTAAGAAAATCTTATTAGCAATTTCACAAATTATTGTTATTATTATATTATTATTATAAAATCTATTAAAACCAAAATCTTTTTCTATAAAGTCCTCAAATAAAAACTTCTATATTATTAAAATATTTCTTCAATAATAATATTAAATTATCATCATAGATGCCAACGCAATAAAAAAAAGAATATGTGTGTGTGTGAGTGTGTGTGAATGAAGATTATGATGAAGATGATGAAGATGCAAATTCTCATAACATGAATGATGAATAATATATTTATATTTATATCTCTATAATGTTGATGTTTCATTTTGTACCATTAATTTTTCTAAAACTCCTTCAAAACCTTGTCGACCTTTCATAGAATTTTCTCTAAATCGTTGAATAAAAAAATCCTCAATATAATTTGTAAATTTGTTAATTGATTCGTTACATCGAATTCTTGCTTCTTGTTTGAATAATGTTCTAAAGTTAATTTAAATTTAAATTTTTTCCATAGAAAAAATTTATATTATTATTTAATGTTAATTTTACTGTTTCAATCAATAAATAAAAAAGTTACCTTGATGGATCATTGGGATCCTCAGCATATGTAATAATTTCAGAAACATTTATTATATTTCTCATAGTGAGATTTGTACTAGTCATCTTTAAAAGTTTGTTTTTTGGATCAACCTCACTAACTTCCCTTGCATATGACTCGGCAAAATCACCAAAAATTCTTCTAAAAATCCTAGGTATGTTCTGATGAATTTTTACTAAACGTTCTGTTCTGAGTATTCCTGTTTTTGGATCAACCGAACGATCCAACACATCAACTGTAACAACGTGAGGACAATTATCATTTGGATATTTATTCCAATGAGCTGCAGATACTTTTGACCACGGGTATAAGAAAGTATAAGAAGTTTCAAAAAGTTTCATTTTCTCCCTTTCCTTCGTACATGTACTACTTTAAATTGTATTTGTCCTGATAATTACAATAACTATAATAATTGCAATAATAAGAAATGTTAAATCTATTATTACAACAGGAAGGAAAGGGAAAATAATTTTTTTGGGTTTGAAAATCAATCAACATCTCTTGTTTGTCACATGTGACAAATATTAATATTATTAATTTTAGATTTTTTTTTTTGACACAAGAATTAAAAATTTAAAGATGATGTTTAATAGGCATGTTATTTCTGTATCCAGATTATTTATTAGACAATCTTGTGTGATTAGAAGGTCAATGCATAATAATAGTAACTTTTTTAGAAATGATTTGAATTTGAAGGTATTGCTATTATTAGGTTATTGGGATTATTTTGAATCATTGAAATATTTAATTAATTAAAATTTTCTAAACTCTAATCAAAAACAGAAAAAGCAAACTTCTATCAAAACAATTACAAGTCTTATTGGTTTGTCAGGTGTGACTATTTGGTACATACACAATAAAAAAGTAATTCATGCAGATACATCCAGTAATCTTGTAAAAGATTCAATTGAAACTATAGGTACTTATTTAGAGAATATATTAATTATAATTAACAATATTTTTAATTTATATTTGGCATTTAATAAATTTTGAATTTAGAGGAGCCAGAAAGTAAAATTAGAATTCCAGCATGCATAACACTACGTGATGGATCAAAGGCGGTACTTATTGGGATGGGAACTAGAAGAGTTTCGTTTTTGAATATAAATGTATATATTGTTGGAATGTATATAAGAGAAAAAGATATTGAAATACTGAAAAAATGGAAGGTTAATAATTTATCATTGTTGTTAAAAATGAAAAAGATGATAACATTATTATTGCTATTTTAATGAAATAATTACTAATTATATTTAGGGTTTTGATAAAGAGAAATTTATGTCTTCAAGTGATGAATCAGTTGCGTCAATGTTATTGGATCAACCTATTGAAATCTCCATTAGGATAGGTATGTTCACACATAAAGATTTGGGCCATAATTATGATTATATCTTTTAATATTAACAATAGAACTTTAGAACCTATTAGAAACACCAACGGACAACATTTACGAGATGGATTTGCAAGAGCTTTAAACATTAGATTACAAGACGGGAGTTTATCAGATAAACATCTTGAGGTAATAATAATAATAGTAATAACAAACAGCAACAACAACAACAACAACAATAATTTTTATTTTTTAATGTAATACTTGGATGTAGGAAGTAGTGGAAGCAATCAAGATATTTAAAACAAAATTTTCAAAATCAATTATAAGAGCTGGCACTGCTTTAGTTCTTACTAGACTGAAAGATGGAGGTTTAAGAATGGATTATGAGGTAAAAACTTGCAATATAATTGGTAATAATATAAATATTAGTAATATCTTTATTATAATGCAGGGGAAAGAAATGGGGATTGTATATAATGATTGGTTATCAAAAAATATTTTTATGGGATATTTATCGGCGAAACATCCAATATCTATAAAGGTTTGTTTTGAATTAGCATCAATCAAAGATTTTTTACTAACCAAATTTATAATAATAATAATAATAATAATGATTTTTAAAAGGCCAAAGAAAGTATCGCAGAAGGATTTGAAAACTTGTTGCTAAAATAAAATGAATGGATTGTTCGTTTCATTAATAAATATATTTACTCTACATACAGTATTTATTACATTAAAAAAAATTGTTTCCTTCAAGCACGTTATAATAATATAAATTCAAACAAGTTGACTCTATTTAAAAAGTTCTTTTAAAAGAATCTGTGGATGTTTGAAAAATTATTGGTCTACAAAAATATTTCAAACTTTACCTTCTTGTCTTAGAGTATTGTTGAGTAACCAATAAATACACCAGATCATTTATTTTTATACGAAGACGATTGTTATAAACTTTTAACATTTTTGCTCCGTATGTAAAATCCGTTATCCCTTAAACTGTCCACATTTTCGAATAAGGGAATTTCGAAAAATTTATTGGTAAATTACAAAATTCCACCAATCAAAATTAACCAAATC